TTAGCAATAATCCTAAATGCAATTTTAATTTTTAAGCGTGAAAAAAAATTACTTCACCATCATTGAAAAAAAAATTGTGTCTTAAAACATAAGCTATATATTCAGTAGAGTTGAGTGAAAATAAAATTTTTTAGAAATACAACTTTTCTCTCTGAATTTTATACTAGCAATAAGAAAACTTAAAAAACGAAACCGAAATGAGCAAAAATGGACAAGAATTACCCCCTGCAGCAACTTTTGACTAATACTGCTTATTATTGGTAGCGCAATTTTTACATTTAAAAATTCTTTTTAAGTAGAAGTTACAAAGTGAAAATATATTTTTTTAAGATAAACCATTTTCTATGTCAGAGACAATTTTTTTTAATTAGGTGCTCCCAGAAGTCTTCTAAGACCAAAAGTCTTATCACAGAGCACTGCGGAACTTTTATTACTACTTTTTTAAAATCTGTTTCACTATTTTTTAATAACAAATATATTCAAGAACTCACCTAATAAGCTAATCTTAAAAATAATAAGTTTATCTTAAAAAAAAATATTGATTAGCAGAATGAAAGAGCTGTTTTAACCACCAAGAACAAAAAAAAATAAATAATAAAAACCCTTAATCTATGGATAGATCAGAAAAATTGGTATTTGTTAGTTAGAATTGCATTACCTCATTTGCCTTAAATATGCTCATTTGAGAGAGTGATTGCATTATACACATATTACAACAGTTGTTAAATATGCTCATTTGAGAGAGTGATTGCATTATACACATATTACAACAGTTGTTAAATATGCTCATTTGAGAGAGTGATTGCATTATACACATATTACAACAGTTGTTAAATATGCTCATTTGAGAGAGTGATTGCATTATACACATATTACAACAGTTGTTAAATATGCTCATTTGAGAGAGTGATTGCATTATACACATATTACAAAAGTTGTTAAATATGCTCATTTGAGAGAGTGATTGCATTATACACATATTACAACAGTTGTTAAATATGCTCATTTGAGAGAGTGATTGCATTATACACATATTACAACAGTTGTTAAAAGGAGTAGTTCTGAATATCAAAATTTCGGATTTTCAGTATGGTATGAGTATCATACCATACTGAAAATCATAACTTATGGTATCAGTATGGTATGAGGCACAGTGAACAATAAAAATTGCCATACAAATTAAATTGTAAATGCATTTAAATAAGTACTGTTTATTCATTACATTATTATTTGGAATTAAATTCTTAATTAATACTGACAAAAGTTAGTACATGTATCCCTGCCTATGTCTTAACAAAATGAAAGTTTTCACTATTCCCTTAAGTCTACATTGAATTTCAAAAAACATCTATAAGTTCAAGAGTTGATTGATTTGTTCATCCTATATTTAGAATAGCGTAACAGTGATTTATCCTCAACTTGAGGATAAATAAAGTGAGACCCACCCTTGTATTTTGCGGAACGCAGAATTGTTTCGAGACATTCCTCCAAGTACAAAACATGATTAGTTTGGACCAGGTACAATTTCCAATTTTTTTCTGAGTTCTGAGCAAAATTGACAACAACCCTCATATTCACAACCCACATATTAACAACTCTCTAATTCACCGTAATATTGGATATTTTTTCAAATTGGATAGGTTTATGCTCCAATTTTTTTTTATTGGATACGTTAAGTGCATAATCTGCAATTTCTCACTGCAGTTTCATTAAATTGCTTATGCAACAATTCGGTAAAGTTTCACAACCTTCAGTGCTTTTGTTTGTGCCAAAAAAGTATTTAACATTTAATTTTTTCACGTATTACCAGTTATATCAGTCTGAGCCATATTTATAAGGAAATCAAAATATTAACTGATCTATCAGCTGTTGTTAACACTTTGAAAACTTCAAAAAAATTTCTGATATTTGTCTTTATTCACCTTACTGTTCCTACTCAGTCCGTTTTACGGTACTTGGCGAAGTTTTTTAACTATTAAAGATTTTTGAAATCACCATACATATAGTAATAGTAATATTTATTGTTGTAACAATTACAAATTTGTTTAGATATAAATATTTAAAAATAAAATAAATCGTGGGACGCGATGCAAGCATTGGGTTATAGACAGCCCAAAAAATTCAAAAAAAACACAAGTTGTGAAAAATGTTTATCTAATCGATTTAGTTATCTTTGATTAGTTTACTGTCATCTGCGTATAACTTGCAATTGGAATTAATAATTGATAGTAGATCATTTACGAATATCAAGAATAAAAAAGAACCAAGCACAGAGCCTTGAGGCACACCACTAAAAATTTCAAGCCATGGAGACACGTTTACAACACAACTCTTTGCTTTCTTTCTTTTTAAAAAAGACGATATCCAGTCATTTAGTACACCTTTGATACAATATGCTTCACACTTTTTCAACAGTCTTTTATGTGGAACCTTATCAATGGCTTTGGCAAAATCCATATAAATAAAATCTGCCGCTAAACTGTCACTCAAGCTTGTTGTTAAAATGTATCCTGTTCCAGCAAATTTGTTACACAGGCTTTATTTTTTACGAAGCCATGTTGATTTTTTGATAGCAATTTATTTTCCATCAGACGAGTCATTATTGCTTCTTTTATAAATGCTTCCATAGATGTTAATGATACGGGTCTATAGCAATCTATATATTTATCTTCTATAGATGTTAATGATACGGGTCTGTAGTTAAGGGGCTTTGTTGCATTTTCATTCTTAAATATTGGAGTGATTTTTGCTCCTTTCCATTTGCTAGGGATTTTTCCTGTTTCATTCGATTTTCGGTAAATTAAAGCTAATGGAGTTGCAACACTACTTTAACAATTTTTAAGTACGTAAGGACTAATAGCATCACTACCACATGCTTTGTTGACGTCCAAAGAAATCAGTTTTTGCTGAACTACCTCATTTGTAACAACATTCATCCAATCCCATTCAAAAGGTTTTGTAATACGTGGTTCAAACTCCGTAAATTTCACCATGCTCTTTAACAGAAACCGATTGAAAACTTTTGTTCAATATATTAACAATCTCATGCCTGTCAGATGTGAGTCCATTTGCGTAGCTTTTCATTGATTGTATTTTGCCAATGCTTTTTTGGTTCTTTTTCGCGTATTTGTATATAATACAGGTAAAAAAAAATCTATTACTAAAACAGATATTTTTGATTTTTTAAAAATTTCTTTAAGTTATATTTTTTTTTAAATCCATGGAAGTATATCCCTCAAATAGTTCTTCCTTTTTACTTAACACTTTGCTTAAAATTCCTAATTTATAAAAAAGTTTTTTGACTTTGTCAGACGTTTGAAGAAATGGCTAACCATTTTCTTATTTTTGTTTTTTATTTATACAAATTTATGCTTTTTATTTATACAAATTTATACTTAAAATTTATTTACAATTTTAAATTTTATAGTAAATAAGTTTTTATTTGGCTTCTGCCATTAGTAACTGCTTTTTATCTGGTTTCGGCCATTAGTACCTGCTTGTTTGAAAGTTAATTATTTTAACGATGTTCAAAATTGTTAGAAAAACTTAAGATAATCGCAATCATTTTATTTGTTGTAAAATCAATATCTAAATCCTTCCCAACAAGATTATAAACAAACAAATTTCGGGATCGCCCAATATCAATCCAGGGATTCTTTGTAGTACCAAACAAAATAAAGTACAATAAAAAAATAAATAAAAATAACAACAATTTATGTGCAACAAAATAATTTTTATTTAGTATTAAGTAGCGTAAATAAAATAATAAATCTTCGAAGTTAATCGATATTCATAATACTATGAACGTTTAAATGTTAATAATATTTTTATATAAAAGTATTTATAAAAGTTAAGATTACTTTATTCCTAATTTAAGTTATTACAAAAAAAAATATTTTTTCCTTTCGATTAAAACTGGAACTAAAAATAAATGAATATTGGGTATTTAATATTGTCCCCAAGCTCGTATAGACGTGACTATATATAAAACATTTTAATTGACACCAGCATAGAACTCTTGACGTGCTTGATAACAATCTTTTAATTTTGTGGATGTCGACAAAATATTTTCAAAATTGAGGCTGTACAAGATTTAGTGGTTATCTATACTTTTTTCACTTAGATATCCGAAGTTAATTTAATTAAAGCGCTTTAAATAAAAGTAAACCAAAAGTTAAATTATAAAACAATTAAATTTCCTCAAATGAATACCACAAACCTGTTAGGAGAATAACTTCCGAAACTTTACAAATTAGAAAGCTGATTTTTTTTATTTTCCAACAATTACATCGTTTATTAAAGACCTTATTGAAATAATAACTTTTTTATTTACAATTAACCATATCTAAAGGGGAAAAGGGTACTCATTTAAAATTTTTTTACTTAATAACTTGGCCTACGGAGAGGAAATATTGACACAAACAAGACCTCTAACCGAAGAAACAAACCAGGAACGGAACAGCCGAAGAGACTCTGGGGTTTAAAGAGTGTACCTTACGCTCTCGAATCTAGTGCTCCAACGCTCAAGAGTAGAAAGAGATTCATCAAAAAAGTAATTTCCTAAACACAATATTAGCAGTCCATAATTTTTTTTTGCAGGGAGTAAACACCATTTTTGCAGGGAGTACAAGTAAACACCATTGAAGTAGAATTCAAAAATCTTAGGATTTACTTTTACTATTTTTTTACTGATACCAGAAATGATTATAAAAGAAACAATTTGAAAAAAATTATGGTTGTATAAATTTAAAAAAAAATTTAAAAAACGCCTAAAACATACAAATCATAATAAAAACAACAAAAGAAATAAGAAAATTTAATTTTACTGTTATATTACAAAAATATAGTTTATACAGACAGGAAGAAGATATAAGAGACTTACGAAAATTTTTATGTATATAGAATTTTAAATATTACCTTTATTTACAGAAACCACTTGATGCAATTAGAGACCAATTTAATAGTTACAATTTAAAACAGATGAGAAAAAAATAACAAGATTTACTTATGAAAATTTATTCCTCTTATGAGGCGTTTCAAATAAATTAAATTCTGTATGGCGTTTACGCCCCTCAGCTATTCTTGAATCATTTAGAAAATCAAACTCTCCATTACTTTCTGGAGACATGGTGAGATCATGATTAGGCGAAATTGTTCTTACAGAATCATTAACTTTCCTACGAGGAGGAGAATGTCCTGATAAATTTAAAAGTATATCTTCTCGCCTAATAGACCGTTTCTTTTTACGAAGCCAATTTGCAAGGTCTTTATTTCTTTTTTTGTATCCAGCTTTGTAACCAAATTCAAATCCTGCACGAATGCCTTCAGATCCATCTATAACAACAAAAAAAATATATATACATATATATATATATATATATATATATATATATATATATATATTATATATATATATATATATATATATATATATATATATAGCTCATTATATTTGAAAAACTTTAAATGAATAAATCATAAATATTGAACCATATATTAGATACAAAAAAATATTAACACCTAACTGTTAAGAGAAGTTTTTTGTCAAATGTTTATTTTTTCAAGATTCAACTGTATATGTTTCTGTTGCATTTAAAAATGCAACAGAAACATTGTATATACAGTTAAATCGCAGTAACTTAAACACAGGTTAACTAGAGCTTTTATTATCTTTGACTGTTTTCTTAGGTCTATTAAAAGTAGAAAAATTGTTATATTTTCTAGAATTAAAAACTTGTTTAGTCTATTTTCTTTAATCCTTAGAGGTTAGAGTTCCTGAGAATATATATATCTTCAAGTTATATTTAATTGCATAGCCTTTAATTAATCAACTTTATATCCCAATTTTTAAATGATTTTTGATTGAAATGACTTTAAATAATAATATAATAATTACATAAATACAATAAATTTATAATTTTTAAATAAAAAAAATACTGCACAAAGTTGAAGGTAGATTTATTGCGCATAAATAAAAATAAGGAAAATCTATACATTAAAATAATTTTATTAGAAATAAACAGATATTTATAGATTAGGTTCATGCTTATGTAACTTGTGTTTAAGTGGAAAATATTAAATAATATAACAATTAGCTTACCTCTATATAGTGATGTTACTTTATTAGCTGCACCCTGGAATTGTTGCCAATACCTTTCATGAGGTTGATTACGGTTATATGTACACTGGTCACAACAATCACATAAAGGACGCTCTAAAAGTATTTTATGTTTATCTACAGTAAATGATGAAAATATTGTCATAATTCGAAAAAATATTTGTAAATGTGACTTTTTAATTCATGTTTAAAAAGTTACTTTATAAGAAGAATAAAAGATTGTTTTGTAAACAGATTAATAGTAGATTATTTTTCAAGACTGTTTAAAGTTAGAAGAAATTATTTTATTAATTTCAATAGTTCCTGTATTTTTAATAAATACATCAGAATTTTATGCTTTAAGTTGTGAAATAAATAACCAATGTATACATGAGCTTTTTATGCTTCACATTTAAAAATAAATTACTGGAACTCCTGAGCGGGCAAACCCTTTCTACTAATATTTTAACAAACTATTATTAAAAAAAAAAGAACTCTGTAACGAACGGGTATTAACTACCTTTATACAAATGAGCAAGCGATGAAGCTGTGTCTTGAAATGTAGCCCATAATCTTTCAATCGCAGCATTTCTTTCTTGTTCGTGCTCTCTATCAACTAATGTTTCTTCGTGATCTATGTGTTGAAAACATTCTCGTTCTATAGGAGAAAAACGAGCCCACGAGTCTAAAAAAGACTCATCTGAGACATGTTCGTGGTCATCCATGGTAGCTAAAACATTACATTGACTGAAATAAAAACAAAACAACCAAATATTCCCTTCCCCTCTAGTCTTTGTTGAAACGATGGTCGTTGCGTTCTCGGGAATTGTGGGAAATAAAAACTTAGTTGGCGTTTTTCATGCCCAGTCCTTTTTTTGTTGTTGTTGACCAAATTATGCGTCATTTTAAAGTTTTTAAATTTTTAACTTTAGAATTAAAATAACTTGTATTTCAAATTGTTAAATTTTTTTAATAATTTTACTTTTAAATTTCTTAATTTTAATGTTGCTTTGTTTACTTTAAGTTTTTATATTAATGTAATCTTTAATTTCTTTTTTGTCTTATTTTTTTGTTTTTATTGATTGTATTCTCTGCTAATTAATGGCACTTTTTAGAAAATGCTGTTCCGAATGTCTTTTGACGTTTTATTAAAGTTGATATTTAAATATTTTTAGTCGAGCCGGCAAAGTATTGCTTTTTTTTTATATTATTCGTCAATTTAATCTAAGACGACCACCTTAAAAGTCAAGCATACAATTTTGAAGTAGATTTCTTTTACTAATGAGACAAAAGGTTACAAACTCAAGGTTCAAAACATATCTTTAAACTTCCGCGTTAGACATTTGATATTTCTGTGGCTTAGACATTTTGGCTTAGATATTTCAAAGAAAAGGTTATTATATATAAACTCTTCAGTTTATAAACAAAAATAATTTTCAAAGAATTTTATACGCTAACTAAATTAGAATAATACGCAAAAATACTATTATATATTAGGTAGTTGACGTAATCAATATTTATAATTGACATAATCAATTAAAAAAAAAATACGCTAACGAAGTTACGCTACCTTCCAGCAATTTAGTCCACATAATTTTTTTGGTTGCGGAGTTGCAAAAGCGCTATCTTTAAACAAAAAATTAACTGAGGTTACAACTACCGCAAATGCTATAAAATTCCATAGCAATACCAGGGTTACACATTGCACATTTAGCAAAATGGTTTAAATAAATTCTTATACGTTTACCGAAAATTCGATTAGTGGAAATTGAAATACAAATAATAGCAAGTGTTTTTCAATAAAATTGAGTATTAACTAAACATTAATTGAACATAAAATTTAAAAAAATTGAAGGTGAGGCATGTCAGGTGTTTACAAAGAGCTAAAGATACTTGAGTGTTTCAGTATAAAAGTCTGACCACTAGTACCTGGTGAACTGGACTTCTGTTACCTCTTTGAATCCGGGGTTCTGTTACCTCTTTGAATCTTTTTTATTAAAACAAAGTTTAATAAACAACGTTTTTACAAATACAACAAATAAAAGTTTCAAACTTCACTGAAAAATCAAAACAGCAATCTTTTTATTTTAATCAATGTTAATATAGAAAGTATACAAAACTAATTTTTATTTTGCATTTTTAAATTTTGACTACTGTTTTATTTAGTCGTTATATAAAAAGAAGTGATTAATATACTTTTAGTTTTAGATTTTAAGGAGCATTCCAAAGCAAATGATAAAAATTCACCATCGTTTCACTTTGTAAGAAAAAAAGCACGTCAGTGTGCTAAATGCAAATTGTACAAGAGAATAATAAAAACACATGGAGGTTCATACCAATTTAAAAACAATTCATAAAATCAATATATTAAAAAGAAATGTAGTTAGCCCACTGTTTTAGATTCTTCAGAATCCGTACTGACATCAAAACCTTCTGTAACTATAAACAACTTTTTTAAAAGTGATAAAATGGATGATTCATTGCCAGCTATTTTAGCTAAGATGACTGCCTGTGATGGTTTATCATTCAATATTATCTGCGCATTATATGATATCAGAAAAGGCTTAACAACCAGAGGCTTTTTTAACATACCAAAGGATCACAAAATAATTTACAAAATGGTCTTGAATTACAGTAAAAATATACGAGACAAAGTAATTAAAGAATTATCAAGCAGAATTGCTAATGGAAACAGATTTTCTCTAATTTTCGATGAATGGATATCAATAAGAAATAGACGTTACATAAATATTAATGTCCATTTTGACAAAGAATCTAGTGCTTTTGGAAAAAATTCCCGCAGACAAATGTTTTGAGGTTGTCAATGATAGGTTAGGTGATTTTAAGCTTTCGATCAAGAATATTGTAGGTATTACCACTGATGGCGCTGCAGTTATGAAAATGGTAGGCAGTTTAATTGAAGCACATTAGCAGCTATGTTTAGTGCATGGGATTCAGTTGGCTGTTATCGGCGTACTCTACAAAAAATCTAATAATCAGGATAGTCTTCATAATGAAGAAGATGCTAACGTTACATCAGTTCCCACACCCAGAATTGAAAAAGAGCAGAATTCCACGGATGACGACGGATTAATTGATGAAGATTATGAAAATGAAAATGGTTCACTCATAATCTCTACTGAAAACAATGATGATAGTTCTTCTTTTCTAGTACATCAGCAAATGTTACAATTATTTAAAAAAGTTCGAAGAGCTATCAAAATATTTCGTTTTTTGCCTACAAAAAATGACAAAACCTTAAAAAAATATGTAAAAAAAGAGTTCGGTAAAGAATTGTCTCTGGTTTTAGATTCAAAAACACGATGGAATAGTTTGGCGTATATGAAAGAACGTTTTGTCAAATTAAAAAATTGCATCAAGTCTAATAGATTTAAAATCACCTATTTAGTTTTCAGATGCGGAGTTTGAAATGTTGTCAATTATCCTTTCAGTTTTATTTCCTATTAAGCTTACAGTTAAAGCAATCTGCCAACAAGATGCAACTTGCATCTTGTAGACAATGATAAAACCAATAACTGGCATCCATGTTCATTGAGTTATGAATTGAAAGCAGCTTTAAAAGTACGTATTTTTGAAAGACGAACAGAAATTTCAAGTGTTTTGTAATATTTACACGATGTAGACTCCAATAAAAATCAAATTGATGATAAAACCGATAGAGATTATGAATTATTTCCAATCATTACCAAAGCTGTAATCGCAAAAGTTATCGTTTTACAGATACAACGTCTGGGTGTGGCCTAACTTGCATTATGAGACTACACTTGTAGCAACAACATCTACTTCACCCAACATTTCAAATTCAGACAAAAATATAATATTTAATGTCAATGGTGATAAAGTTGATCAAAGAAATTAAATTTCTCTGACTTTAAAAGAAAAGTTGGAGATGGCAATATCAAAAAATATTTCCACTAGATTACCTGTAAGTGAAATCAACCGAAATAAAAAAGATCTCACACGCTCAATAAAAAAAAAGAATCATTTTTTGATACCAATGGCATAATGGGAAAATACTTAACTTTAATATATAATTATTTGCTAAGTATTCAACCAAGCAGTGTAGAATTAGAGAGAGCTTATATATATATATATATATATATATATATATATATATATATATATATATATATATATATATATATATATATATATATATATATATATATATATATATATATATATATATATATATATATATATATATATATATATATATATATATATATATATATATATATATATATATATATATATATATATATATATATATATATATATATATATGAATTGAATTTTTCGTTTGCAAATATAACAATTTGAAATAAATATTAAAATAAAAAGTTCATAAATTTGTCATCTGGTCACGTGACCGGAGCAAGATGACTAGTTATGCAATTTTTACCTCCAATTTTATAAAATTTTAAAAAATACCAATAACTTTAACTAAAGTAACAAAAAATAAACACAAATTGCAAAAAATTACTTCTAAAGTAGTTAAACTTGAAGGAAACCATCCATTATGAGAAACCGAAAGTGAGAAATTTTTTTTTTAAGCGCAAAGAGTAATAAAATTGCGTTAATAATATTACATAAAACCAATCGGTGTTTTAAAATACAAAATGCAAATACAATTTCGTTTTCACTTAATTTTAAGATTTTTTGTTGAGTTTTATATATGTGTATATATATATATATATATATATATATATATATATATATATATATATATATATATATATATATATATATATATATATATATACATATATATATATATATATATATATATATATATATATATATATATATATATATATATATATATATATATATATATATATATATATATATATATATATATATATATATATATATATGATATATAAATAACAATTTGTTACTTAAAGTAAATTTTCACGCACAGGAAATTGTCTGCAGAACGGAGCAGAAAAATTTTTTTTCTAATAATGCAACAAAATAATTTAATTTGCAGATGCTTGTTTATTTTGTCTTTTCTGTTCTGTTTCACAAAAACGTCCTTGTCATTTTATATCATTCAATAAAATATAAATTACTGCATGTAGGTATTGCAAGTTTTTATTTAATTATTATAATACTATTTTTATTATTAATTAATAAAAATATTAATATAATACTTAAATAAAAACTTAATGTCACTAAATCTCGTATTTTATTTCAAAAACTATGCTCTCGTGACCTCTGAAGAATGTTTACCAATATATAAATAAGGGCAAATCTGTTTTTCCATTTATCTTGTATGGTTCAGATTTTGTCACTTCACCCAAAGATAAAGCTGAATTGTTTGCTTCTCAGCTCATCTACTAGTTGCGTTCTACTTGATATAGCCAACAAACAGGTTAATCAACCGGTTGACAATCGTATCACTCTAGCTTCTGAATCTGAAGTGATTTCCTGGTCTCTTCTACAGCTTGTGATCCAGACAACATACCTGTGATCCAGACAACATACCTGTGATCCAGACAACATACCTGTGATCCAGACAACATACCTTATAGTGTTGGAGAAGAGTTCTACGAAACTGCCGTCCATACTTTCAAAACTATTTAACAAGTGCTTATCAGAGTCTTGTTTTCCAGCTGCTGGAAAGCAGCATCTGTTATCCGCATTCTGCAGAGCAATCTGACTTGTCCAACTACCGTTCTAATAGTCTTTTTACTACCATAAGCAAAGTTTTTGAGTCTTTCTTATCAAGCACTTAAACTCTCACCTTGAATATAATATTATAACATTGTTGTAATGGTGCTTCTTTTTCTCTTTTCAATATATACTATAATGGGCGCTGCTCTAAAGAGCTAGCGCTTTTTGTGCCATCTACTGACATTTATTCTCGTGTTACTCGTCATTCAATTAAGTCTCATCTTTTTACTGTGACTGTTCCTAAGTGCTTCAAACATCATTTCTTTGAATTCGCTATCTTTATCTTGTTTTTCTGATCCATATAATTTGCAATCTTTTAAGTCGTCAGTTAATCGTTATCTTGCTTTATCTTTTATTTTTTTTTTGTTCCAGTAACTTCTAACTCTAATATAGGTTGCTTACAACTTTGTTTGAAGTGAATATGTTTAAAAAAAAAGAGAAGCTTTTATTCAATAGTTCAAAAATGTCAAAATATTTTCTCTTCCAGTAACTTCTAGCTCGAATATTAGGTGCTTGCAGCCTTGTTGGAAGTGAAAATATTAAAAAAAAAACTGTTAATTTTTAAATGTAATGCCTAAACATAAAATGCATTCAGTGGAAAAACAGTTTTGTTAGATTAGAAATGAAAATCTTATAACATTAAATTCAGCGGAGGCTGGATTTAATGTTATAAGATTTCCAAAGTTTTTAAACAACTCAGTATTTTTGCCCAAGATTTCTTTCCTAGATCTAAGGCGTAAAGAACTTTGTAGTAAAAATAATATTTAGTTAAAACATTAAATTTTTTTAAAATTTTGTTTGTTACTGGATAAAATTATGAAAAATATTTTTATATAGTTAAGAACTCAAATTAAGAACTTGATCTGTTAATAAACTCACTTACAAAAATCTCACATTCTCAATCTTTTTGTTTATTTTTATTAAATTATTTGATTTTTATTATTCATTTGTTTATTTACAATATGTAAAACAAGTTTATCAGACATTAAAATATATTTATTAATACATTAGAAAATCATAAAATAATAGGTTGTTGATAATCCTTAGTTTTTTACTATACACCGTGTGCCAGGGTGAAACTAAACCTCCATGAAAACACTTAAAAAAACATACTGTGCCATTCTTTTACATATATATAATAGTTATAAAAATCATAAGAATAAAAAATATTTGTTGGGAAAATTTTGAGAAACGGCCTTTAAAAACCTGCAAAAAAAAAAGGGATAAAGTCTTTTTTTTAAGTAATTTAAAATATTTTTTTCAGTTAAGTACAACTTAAATAGATATAAAAACTGAAAATACATATTATTGCTCACTATGTAACTAAATATTATTAGCATTAAAATTTAGGATAGCCTAAAAGTAGTTCTTCCTATATCTAGGTGAAGAAATGTCTTTTATCAGGTATCATTCCCAAACCACCTAGAATACTGAATGTGAGTTTTCTAACTCCTGTTCTGAAAACTGACCAAGTCCTCTTCCTGTGATGTCGATGAACTGCTAAATATGTGTGAGTATTACATGAAGCTTAGGGGTCAGATACTCGAAACTCTTCCTGTAAAGACTTTAAAGACATCCTTAAAAACATTCTTATAATCAAGATCTACAAACACACCAAATGTAGAGTCAATAACCTTTAAAAAGTCATGCATGTAAATCAAAAAACCAGACAGCTCCATAGTAAGTACTTTCTCCAAATTATCAAGGAGTCTTAGAACCTTAGAACACTCATTACCTTCAAGTGTATCACCATGGTATGATTCGAAGAGAATAGAATGTCCTGCTAACCAAATCTGAAGTCCTGGCCAAATATTTTGTAGTTCTTTAAGGACATGATTTAGGGACAACTTAAGATGAAGGGCTGGTGGTGGACTTTTAAGGATCTAAGCTGTCATCAGGGTCATTTTCATGAAAGAACAAAGGAGTTGCCACACAGTTAGTATACTCTTTTGCTTTGATCTTTTTACCTCCGGAGGTTAGCCAATCCTCTTTGTGGTTTTTAATATTCCCAAATGTTCTGAGTGTAGCATCTGTCTGCCAGGCTTTATTTCCTTCGCTATTTGGAAATTCACAGTATAAGCATGGATATTTTGATGCACATGACATTATTCCAGACACAATATTTAAGAGTTTTAGGTCACCAGTAAAGTTAAACAATAGAAGATCTATTTGAGTTTTCTCTATGAATGTCTTGCAGATGTGATATGTCTCGGGAATTTTTGGAGCTGATGCTATTATCTGAATCCTTCTCCTTCCAGTATCTTTGTAATGATTTCCTAAATTAATTTTTATTGATCAATTAATAAAAATAAACACATAAGTTAAAAGAAGTAGGATGTTAGAATTAAAGCTATTTTTACCTGAACCAATGCCCCTTTTCCTAGTTACTCTGCTAGAAGTTCTAATGAATGTTAAATCATCTGGATCATAAAGTGTAAGAATTACCTTCAGATGTTCTTTTCCAAAATCAAGACCAAACTTTGAAGCCATCTCTAAGAAAGATTGTTCTCTAAAATTTAATATATAATATAAGTATTAATCAAATAGTTTAAAATAATAAATATGAAATCTCAAAAAATAAATAACGACCACAATTGTTATGGTCACCTAAGATATGCTAGTTTTTCCGCAATCTCCAAGATATAGAAACAGAAGATAAAGGGTCGGATTATTTCTTTTCCATTAGAGTCTTAAAATTTAGTTAAATCCTGAGAAAATAACTTCACAAAGATACCTTTTTAATCCCTCATAGCCTCTTTTATGAGAGGAACAATACATTTCCATCCCCAATTAAGTTTCAGGTTTTTCAGAACTGAAATAACTTTACAATCAACCAGCCTAGCTTCCTGTTGTATTGTAGAGACATTCTCTATAGTCAGAAATCCCTCAACTATTGTTTTGTTGTTTTCTTCCGGCAAAAGTATTAAAGGTTTTTCACCATTAGGGGACGTAATGGAGATGACTGAATTGCCTGATTTTTTTTTTTTTTTTTTATAGTTTTATAACTGATCTTTTCAGCCAGTTTGAGATAAATTAGGTTGTTAATGTTAACTAACTTTTCTAATCGTAGCTTACACTTATCTTTCGAGTGGTTTGATCCTCTCTAGATACTAGCAAAGCAGTGTGAGCAGATCCGTGTGGGAAACAATCTTGAATTTTTAGATTTATTCTTCTGTTTGTTGACAAATAATTTCCACTGAAGACCATTCAAGCTAGCAATTTTACATGTTCTGCACTTACATTTGTTCCATAGACTTGATAAAATAGCACTTCAACTGAACATGCAATACTTCACTTAATTAATGAAATAAAAAACTCTTTTGCAAACGGAGAATTTACTTTAGGCGTGTTTATTGACCTCTCCAAGGCCTTTGACACAGTGGATCATAAAATAATGATAAAAAAGCTTAAGATGTACGGCATAAGAGGCGTATCCTGCTGGTGGACCTGAGTGAACGTACACAGTCCATATATTACGGAAATAAAAAAACTTACAAATTCATCTTTAATTTTTTGTGTGCCCCAAGGATCTATTCTTGGGCCTCTACTTTTCCTAATAAACGTGAATGATCTCTGGAGAGCGTCAAATATATCAACAATAATGTTTGCTGACGACAGTAACTTTTTTATTTCAGGAAAAGATATACCTCAACTCTTCGTACAAACAAACAACGAATTAGATAAAATTTCATTATGGTTCAATGCAAATAAACTTTCTATTAATTCAAATAAAATAAAGTTCTCGTTATTCCAAAAAAATTTCTATTTCTTTTCCAAAACTAGTTATTGAAAACACAGATGTTAGTCGCAAAAGAGTCACAAAATTTCTTGGTGTTCTCATTGACGAAAATATTACCTGGAATAAATATATTGCCTATATTGGCAGCAAAATATCAAAAAGTATTGGAGTTCTATATCAGTCACAAGATTTACTTAATAAGCATCATCTAAAACAAATCTATTTCAGTTTTATACATATACATATTTCAATATTATAAATATTGCGTGGTGTAATACATCTAAAAGCAAGCTTGAAACACTCTATCGAAAACAAAAACATGCCTTAAGAATAATGAATTTTAAAAATAAAAACGAACAAGCAAAACCACTGTTCGAAATTATGAATATTTTTACGTTATACGAGATAAACGTTTATAAAGTTTTATGTCTCATGTACAAAAGTAAATTTCAACAATGCCCCTCAATTTTTAATGATCTTTATGAAATAAAACCTAACATTAAATATACTTTACGCACAACAGGCTTAATTGAACCATTGTGCAAAACTAAACAATTTAAAATTACGTATCGTAAAACAATTTAAAATTACGTATCGTACTCCGCATATCTGGAATAAAATCTTAGCAAAATATAGTAATTTACCAGGTGTAAACAATATAAATTGCTTTCAAAAACTAATAAAAAAGAATATTTCAAAGTATACAAATCTTATTAATGATTTCTTTTAAACTGCTTTGTTTTTTCTTTGTTTGTTTTTTTGTTTTTGTCTTTTTACATTGAAAAGTTTTTGGTTTTAACACTATTTACCTTAGTTAATTAAGTTTTGATTTTAACACTATTATAGGAATTTAATATTGTAAAAACATAATTACAACGGTTCTTGATGATAAGACTTTATGGTCTTCTGCAAGTTTCCTGCGTTTTTATTTATTTTTTTATAACTAACTCTTATTATTTTGTCTTTGATTTTTTATATTTATAACTGGTTTATTTTTGAAAGAATAAGAGTATCTGGTATTATATTACGGAATTTAATTGTAACAAAAACGGAAAGTTAAATAAAAAAAACAAAAAAAAAACCATATAAATGTTAAATACATTTAACATTAAAAAAAAAAAAAAACTACTAGTAAACTAGTAGTTTATTTATTTAGAAAAACTAAATAATTCAGGTGCGGATTTAGAGGGGGGCACAGCCGGCTCGTGCCCCCCCCCCCCCCCTAAAATTTGATTAATTTTTTATTTATAATAATGTCGATCCATTCTCAGGTCAGATATTCACTCTATAAAAGACAGACATTCACTCTATAAAACTAACAGCGTATTTCTGTAATATCAAAAAACATACTCTTGCTTCCCAGTAAGCACAGATCGTTTTTAAAACGTTTAATAAACGTTAAAAAACGTTTTCATAGGTTTTTTAAACGTTTTAAAAACGTTCTGTGCTTACTGGGTTTGTAATTGGAAATTGCAACAATACATGTAAAAGTGTATTTAATATATAAATGTTGAGAATTGAAAGTGTTTTTGCTATTCATTCTTGGAAAAAAAACAATGATTTTGCAAATGTTATATTAAAAAAACTAGTTAGAAAAGGGTACTGGAAACTGTCCATTTTGGGTTGTCATTTCATCAAAAATCATTGGCGGCTGATTATAGACCCCAGAAGGGGAGGGGGATACCCCCTCCCCTTCTGGGGTCTATAATCAGCCACACGCAAAGGTCTATAATTTTACCACACGCAAAGAGACAAAGCGATGTTTGCTAAACAGAGGGGAGAGGTTTAACTGTTTACATTAAATAACATTGATTAGAGACTTCTCCTAATTGGAAGTTTTGAGATGTTCCATTTCTCCCATGTTTTACTTCTCTCTACACTCCTCTATATAATTGATTCATACAGTATATTAGAAACTGACAAGGACTAAATGGTATTATATTTACCATTTAATATTTCAAATTATATCGGAATTTAAATAAATTAATAGTCTTTCAACAATTATTTAAATAATTCCAGATGATTAACTAAAACACTTCCGTATTTAAATTTATCACCTGGAATTATTACTTTAACATAATCTCACGTTGATTTCAAGAATTAAAAAAAGTAACAGTTCCAGTTGTATCGCGTATTATCGCTCAACATTCGACAACTAAAGTAAACTAATAATCATTCTTCTATAACACTATTAACTAAATATTATTAAATAAGCCTCTAAAAAGCAACTTTTACTTGTATTTTGTTAATTATAAATTTTAAAGATCACATTTTCATTTTTTTTATCTTTGTGACAATGCGACTGTTCAATACCACACGATTCTTTTTATTATCGGTATCATCCTTCTCAGTATAGACTTACACGATACCGATTAATTAGTGTCTAGTTATCAGTAGCAGAGTGATTATGATGATTCTGAACTTGACCTGACCTGAAATAATTAGAAGAAGTTACATCTTGTATGCAACACTTTATAAATTTGAACGGGATATTTTAAAAATGCTTAAGGAAAAACATTACACGTAACGGATTACTATAAATTATTAAATAAAGTTAAAAAAATAAATTTAAAAAGATTAAATAATTTTTATAGTTGGATTTGGGTAACAAAGCTGAAACTTCATCAAAGATACAAACATAACAGCGTTATTACGGGTGAGAAAACATAACGCCAGAGCTCTGGCGTTTTAGGTCTAAATTTCTGCTGTCTAAATTTCTGCTGTCTAAATTTCAACTGTCTAAACCTCTAGAGGTTTAGACAGAATACAAACATACATATAGTACCTTATGTATGTCTCTGGCGCGGTGTTCATTCACCGGGTGAATGAACACTGCGCCAGAGCTTTAAACAGAACACAGACATACAAATATAGCAAATTACAGGTGAGCTTACACAGTTTCTATAACTAACGGGTGAGCAAACACCGCGCCAGAGGTTCAGAAAGAACACAAATATACATCTAGGAAATTATGGGTGAATGATCATCGCGCCAAAGATTTAGACAAAATAAAAACATAGTACAGTTGCAAAATACAAATAGTATGTTACGGGTGAGTGAACGCCACGCCAGATGTTTATATAGAACACAAACGTACATATAGGAACTTACAGGTAAATGAACACCGCGCCAGAGGTTCAAAAAGAATATAAAATTACCGGTGAACTTACTCAGAATCTAATACTAACGGGTAATCAAACAACGCGCCAGAGGTTTAGACAGAAAACAAATATACATCTAGGAACTTATGAATCAATGAACATCGCAGACAAATTGAAAACATACAAACAGTAACTTACGGGTGAGTGAACACCGCGCCAGAGGTTTAGACAGAACACAAACATACATATAAGAACTTACGGGTGAATGAACACCGCGACAGAGGTTCAGACAAAATAAAAACATTCAAATAGCAACTTACGGGTGAGTGAACACCGCACCGAAGTTTTAGACTAAACACAAATATACATATATAGTTAATTACAAGTGAGCTAACACAGTAACTAAAAGACCTCAAACTATATAAAAAAACAAAAATAAATACCACTACATACATGACAAATACTAAATAGTATTAGTAAGATAAATTAAAAAATAGCAACATAATATTTACTACTAAAGTTTTATGCGTTAGCAATCGTCAGGTAAAAATAAATTATTTTTTTTTTCGTTGAAAAATAATTTATTTTTATTATACAAAAGAATCGTACAAAACTATAACAAATTAATAACACAACTATTTATAATGAAATTATAATTAAAAACAGTTATAATAAAAACAATATTAAAAAATTTATACAAATCTGATATTGTTTGCAAGCGTGCTTTAAAGTTTTATAGTTTGATTTTTTAATCTTTGAGTCAAGCAAAAACTTTTTCGTTTTCATGACGACAACTTCATCGATAGGCATTATTTATACGCGCGTACAACTTATTTTTTCTCATTAGTTTGCGTGCATTTAAACTTAGTTATTTTTTAATTATTTTGACTATTTCAACTAAAAATCTAGGGTAATTTAATTAAATTATTTTCTTAATATAAATTAAATTAATTTATAAACCCTATTTAAATAAACATTAAAATATTTAATTTATAAACCATCAGTCGATGTATGTATGCGCATGTCCTTATTTAAGTCAGTTGGTGTATGTGCACTCCATTCCGACAACGGCTATATATGTCAATTTATGTACGCATTGATGCACTTATTTTCTGAAACTTTGAAAAATAAAAATAAATAATAAACATAACATAAATAAACAACAATAATATTTAAAAAACATGAAACTTCTTCGAAATAAAACATTTAAATTTGAAAAACGTCCTCCACGCAACACTCAAACCTGTCACGCGGGCATTAAGGCAAGAGTAGCGTTGCTGCTCAAAATATTAGCACAGTGTTGTGGATGAAATGCTACTGTAGCAGTTCATCCACGACACGATGCTAATGTATTTTTATTTAAAGAGCATTTTTTGCTTACAAATAAGATTTCTTTTATGTAGACAGTATTTGTTGCATTATGCGCGTATAAATAATGACTTCCCACTTGAATATTATATCAGTTTTTTTGTTCAATTCAAGAAAATAAAATAAAATTTATTTTAGCAATTCTTTATTAACAATATTTAAGTGTTAATAAAGGTTTAACAAAATTTAAGGGTTAGGTAATAATTAGTGTTTAAACTATAAAAAAAAATTAGTCATAACATCTTTAAAAACTTAACATTTAAGATGCGTTTTCTAAATACACCGATAAACAACCACAATTTTGGAAGTAGTATAACAAAAGTGGACGCAATTTAACAAAAAGCGTACAAGACGCAGAATTCTGTTTTGTGTTTTACTCATTTAAAACAACGGACTGTTGTGGTACCGTAAACGGGGGTTACTTTGAATAGCGGGTTTTTTTTTTTCAAGTTGTAATTATGGCAAGAACTTGTATTAAACTGTTCAAACCTTAAACACCAAAGTGTTAAAAATATTTTATATTTTGATTATTTAAATATTTTACTTTGTTTATTGGTTGTTATTGTTCCTTAAATATCATTTGGAAGCTACTTTCATTGCTCATCTTTTTCAGTCATTTGGTTTAAGCAAAACAACAATTTTTTTTATTTATTTGAAAATGTCGAACTTTGTGCCAGATAAAGTGTTTTTGTGGGGTGTTCTTCTTCATTACTTCAATATGAAGAAAAGTCATCGTATTTTATTGGAGGTTTATGACAATCATTCTCTAGCTGAAAGAACGTGTCAGAAGTGGTTTGCACGGTTTTAAAGTAGTAATTTCAACTCGGAAGACGAAGAACAACCCGGACAGTTAAAAAAGTTTAAATATGAAAAATTGGAGGCATTGCTCGAAGAAGATTCGTGCCAAACGCAAGAAAAACTTTCAAAACCATTGGAAGTCACTTGAGCAGCCATTTCAAAACGTTTAAATTGGGATTCATCCAAAAGCTTTGGAAATTAGGTGCCGCACTAATTGAAGCCGAGAGACATTGAAAGGCGATTTTGCATGTCGCAAATACTGCTTGAACGCCATCAAAGGAAGTCGTTTTTGCATTGGATTGTTACTGGTGATGAAAGATGGATTTACTTCGATAACCCCAAGTGCAAGAAATAGTGTGTGAAGTCTGGCCAATCATCAACATCAATGGCGAAAGCAAATATTCATGGTGCAAAGGTAGTACTCTGTATTTTTTGAGATCAGAAGGGAGTACTCTATTATGAGCTGTTAAAATCAAGCCAGAAAATCACAGGGGATTTCTACCGAACACAATTGATGCGTTTGAAGAGAGAAATCGTGCAAAAACGTCCAGAATATGTGACCAGACACGAGGCCATAGTTTTCAACCATGACAATGCTCAGCCTCATGTTGCAAGACAGGTTAAAAATTATTTGGAAAACACCGGCTGGGAAATTCTACCTCACCCGCCTTATAGCCAAGGCATAGCCCCTTGACTACCACTTGTTCCAATCAATGCAGAATCTCCTCACCGGAATACACTTCACTTCATTTGATGGTATCAAAAACTGGCTTGATTCGTTCTTGGCCGCCAAGCCGGAGAAGTTTTTTTGGGATGGAATCCACAACCTGCCGATGAATGTATAACCATTTTTTCAATAAAACCTCTATTGTATATATATATATATATATATATATATATATATATATATATATATATATATATATATATATATATATATATATATATATATATATATATATATATATATATATATATATATATATATATATATATATATATATATATATATGTATATATATATACATATAGATATATTTATATATATATATACATATACATATATATATATATATATATATATATATATATATATATATATATATATATTTAAATATATATATATATATATATATATATATATATATATATATATATATATATATATATATATATATATATATATATATATACATATACATATATTTATATATATATAGGGGAAACTGGGGTAAAATGAGGTAGTGGGGCAAAATGGGGTTTTGAAAATACACCCCATTCAGAGTCTCAGAGCATCGAAAAAAATATTGGATTTGAAATATCGCAAGAAGAGACGTCGCCATCTTTTACTTTTGTTCACGTTTTCTTCAAGTATCGTCGTTGAGAGGTAAATACAATTTTGTCAACTTTTTCATCTTATTTTTTAACATTATATTTTAAGAAGCAGCTTCTTTGTAATTAAAGCTTTGAATTAAATATATTATTGCTCCTGAATGATATTATATATTAAGCAATTAAGACTCTTATATATTCATGAGCTTTGCTCTGCTTTGTTTTTTCGAACAGTTTTATTATGCCTCCTATGTTGGGGTAAAATGGGGTGTCTCAAAAGGGAAAAATGGGGTATTTTCCCATTTTTCCCCGGTAGTGTTATTTATCTAAATTATAGAAATGAGATGTGGTTTATATTTAAACGTGATTCTATTTTTTTAAATTACTAATAGACTCAATAGGCCTGCTGTAATTTTATTCAATAGGCCTAGGTTCTTTTAATAAATAATACTAATACTTAATACTAGTCTATTTTTAAAATATTATTTTATTGTTGTTAAAGTTCAGTTAAAGTATTATTATAGCCTATACTATAGAACTATAAATATAAAATAAGAAAAGCACAAAGAGTAGGGTCTCATGTACTGAGTGCCACAGATGGGCCCATTATTCTTGTGCAGGCATTGATGAAAGAAACAAAAAACCTTACTTTTTGTGTGAGCTATGTACTAGCAGTGATTGATTATATTTGTACTAGCAGTTATTGATTATATTTGTACTAGCAGTGATTGATTTATCATATTTGTTTGAGTTCCTCCTTTGACCCCATTTTGCCCCATCCATTACCCCGTTTTGCCCCATGCTTTGGGTAAAATGGGGTTTTTATGTTATTTTTAAAAAAATGTAATAAATCAATTAATTTACATTCTTTTGACTTGCTGTTTTGTTACAATGTTGTCTATGTTGTATTCTGATGTTTCAACATTTATTTGTAATCATTTTATTTATTTTTGTGACTTTTATAGGGATTCATTCTTAAGTACCCCATTTTACCCCAGTTTCCCCTACATATATATATATATATATATATATATATATATATATATATATATATATATATATATATATATATATATATTATATATATATATATATATATATATATATATATATGTATGTATATATAAATTAGTAGAAAATCACTTAGCAAAATTTTTTCTCATTTAACACTGTGTTTCATCAATAAAGACTCATCAGAAATCTTTTTTTTATTGATGAAACACAGTGTTAAATGAGAATAAATTTTGCTAAGTGATTTTCTACTAATTTGTAATTGCTCTGTTCTTTTAAGAACATTGAGCACTCTTTTTGTAGAATACATTTTAAATTGTTTAAATATATATGTATATATATATATGTATATATGCCGAAGAAGTTTTTTTGGGATGGAATCCACAACCTGCCGATGAATGTATAACCATTTTTTCAATAAAACCTCTATTGTATATATATATATATATATATATATATATATATATATATATATATATATATATATATATATATATATATATATATATATATATATATATATATATATATATATATATATATATATATAAATATAATTATTTTTAAAAGTAACCCCATGTTTTTTATTCTTTACATGTTTTGTAAAATTTTATTTACATTTTCAAAAGATTAT